ATATTACCATTAATGTCGGTTAACTACGAATAGAAATTTATGGGTGAAACTCGTAGAATACCACGCAAGCATAAACAAAATTTACGGCCTACACAAGGAACACAAACTAAGCACTGAATGCGACCGATAATATGCGTGTTTTGTCGCGTTTCCCTCAAATTAGTACAAGCCATGCTATATATATATATATATATATATATATATATATATATATATATATATATATATATATATAATAGACTAAGTCCGACAATTATTTTAATATATTTTTTTGTTTATACGTTATTTTTTATAGATACAAATATTTAATTAATTGCTCTGTTTATCATATATATATATATATATATATATATATATATATATATATATATATATATATATATATATCGGATACAGATGTGTTGATCGGATACAAACCCAGTCTGATGAAGTCCTAACGAATGAAACGTGTCACAAAAAAAAAATTTTTCATACATCTTTTCTTTCAAAATTGTTCTTAATATATAAAAATTTATATAAAAATGTATATATCGTTATCCCATATATACGTGTATGTGTGCTAAAATGTGTGTGTGAAAAACGTATATTTAAGTGCGTCTGCGTGAAAAATATGTATCTGTGCGCGTGTGTGTGTGAGAGAGAAATATATGTATGCGTGTGTGTGTGTGTGTGTGAGAACGTATGTGAACAAGTATATACGTGCGTGCGTGAGTCCGTCAGTGAGTTTGCGTTTCTACGGGCATGCGTGTGCGCGTTCTTCGTCGTGTCTGTGTTTTTGTGTGTCTGTCTGTGAGTCTGTCTGTATATTTTGGCATCCAGAATCCATTTAAACAATTATTTTTCATTAAAAAAAAAGAAAAGTCAACCAACAATTTCTATCCGTTTCATTTCTGATTGTTTTTCTAATTTTCCCATAAGACGTCCATCTTAAACAAAATTCTAGTTAAACTGTCCAAAGCTTATACTTTATTCTGAAATAATTTCAAAGGAAAAAAAACGAACTCTAAACAGTTTATCCACAATTTTATTTTACATTGTGCAACAATTTCTTTGAAAATTGGAAAAGTAGAATATTAGCTTAACCATTTTACGTTGATTTTATGTCATACAGTAAGAAAATGAGTAACTACTGACACAAAGGTTTGAACATGAAACTCTGGACTTATGAAGATATATTTTCCGCCAGGTATATAAATAACGGTGTCAGGCTACTGACTGCAGTGAGTGCCTGTTGAGTGGAACTATCCAGTCGAATTAGTGTGAATTATTGTGCGTCGATGATTTGGGTTTTGGTTTAAGATTTACCGGGCGTTAAACCGAGCCGCGCTACTATTTCACTGAAATGGTTAATTATCTTTAGTTGACTTTTACGTCTTTGTTCTTGTTAAGTATTTATTTGCAGTTGTAATTAAATAATGTTTTATCTCTACACGGAAGACTTTCGGTCATACATAATCATTAACGCCCATCGTACGACAAAGAACTTAAAAAAACTCAATTGAATTCTTGCTGCCTCCATACTAAGTGGAGTCATAATTAATTTCCGATTTTGTTTAGCAAATTTTATTTCTCAAAAAATGATTTACAATTCAGTTATACAATTATTCAATTATATTTTCCCCATTATTTGCAAATGACAAATTTTATATTTGTATTAATTCTATATATATATATATATATATATATATATATTAAACTAAAATTTTCCATGAATTTCCCACGAACCTTCATATCTGCTAGAAGCGTATTTAAAGGTAAACAAATGATGTCACACACTACGCAATGGACAAACTGCGACCATTATTTTAATATATTTTATTGTTATACGTTATTTATATAGACACAAATATTTAACTAAATGCTCTGTTTATAATAAACAGTATTAACAACATTTACCAGTCTGAAATCGACCTTGCGAACCAGACGATCTTCTGTAGCTAAACTGGTATAGCACGTCAGACTATATGACACTTCCGTGTAGCATACAGGTTCTATATATATATATATATCGAGATGTTCTATCAGTCTTTTAATTTTTGATAAGTGTAATAAAAAAAACTTGTCGCTATTATTCAACTAAACATGACTGAAAGAATTATAAATGCCGAAAGAAACGTTATATATATATATATATATATATATAGTAGGCTCGTGAGATAAAGGTGCTCCCCAAAAAGATAAAATGCCAACAGAGGTAGACTAGATTTACACTTTAAAGTCGGCCTTGTGCCACATTCCTTTGTAATGATAAATGTCCATATGTTAGATAGATAGATAGATACGAACAGACTGTCATATATATATATATATATATATATATATATATATATATATATATATATATATATATATATATAGATATAGATAGATAGATACGAACAGACTGTCATATATATATATATATATATATATATATATAGATAGATAGATATATATATATATATATATATATATATATCGATATAGATATATACATATAGATAAATAGATGCGAACAGACTGTGATAGATATGAACAGATTGAGATAGATATATAGATAGATAGATATGAATACACTGAGATAGATAGATACGAGCAGACTGTGATATATATATATATATATATATATATATATATATATATATATATATATATATACAAAGAGAGAGTATCTGTGTGTTTGTGAGATAGATAGATAGATAGATAGATAGATAGATAGATAGATAGATAGACACGAACAGACTGTGATAGATATATATGAACAGATTGATATTGATAGATATATACATAGGTAGATATGAACTAAATGAGATAGATAGATAGATAGATAGATAGATAGATAGACAGACAGACAGACAGACGAACGGACCAATCTGTTGTATTTGGAATGCTTACAAAGCTACTGCCTTTATCAACTATTCAACGTAACTCTGGTCTCAACCTGTTGCAAAAATGTTAAATGCTCACAAGACTTTGATAATCGAACTATGTCATATGATCCTACTCGCTTCACTATCTTATCACAGAGTTTTATCAATAGCAAATCAGTTTTCTTTAAAAAAAAAAAGAGAGAGAGAGAAAGAAAGTCCTGCATTTACATCTTTTGCTAATAAGTTTGTTCTTATCTTGGCATTATATATACATAGATATTCCTATATTGCGTTCATCTTAATCTATTCAGATACCCCCCACCCCCCAAAAAATTGCATACTTAATATAAAATGAAAATGTTTATATCAACGGAGCCACAATAAAACACATCAGGTCGTATTTGCTAAAATACTTTGGTTTGCATGATAGTGCCACAACCGCGCAAGTTCTAACATGTTAAAGTACAAGTGACTTTAAATGAACTAAAGGCATGATATGGATTTTCCCTGGCATGTTATCTCGAAGGAATTAATATACGCTGCAGTCATTGCCAGAACTGATACTTTCATCCGAGAATTCATGTGACCCGATACCAAAATAATACCCACCTCCAAGTACTTCTTCGCTGATATACGAGGCATGTGAAAAGTTCTCGGCCTGACCCACTTCCCTAAACCTGATTAGTTATCGGATTTTTTTTTGGGGGGGTCAAACCGAGAACTTTTCGTCATCTCTTGTATATATTATATCTAGTATTCTCAAAATGTGTATGTGTGTGTGTATGTGTGTGATGTTGTTTATGCGTTTACAGTTTTCATCCGATTTCAATTAAAAAAATTTTGTTTGATAGGTAATTCTTCAGTGCAGGTTTTGAGTCCAAATTGTTGGCGACAATGGCTCTCCACTACTTCCTGTCCATTATAACTCTCAGCAACGTTTTACGATTTACTATCTGTGCTTGGATATATATCTTTCATAAAAACTTTAATAAAAATACATAGTTTAAATTATTACAATAATATTATCAATAATTCTTAAAATGTGTGTGTACGTATATGTGTGTTTATGTATATGTGTATGCATGTGTGTGTGTGTGTGTGTGTGAGAGAGAGAGAGAGAGAGAGAGATCGGATGTTGTTTATGCGTTTCCACAGTTTTTATCCAATTTTGATAAAATTTATTTGTTTGATAGATAATTCTTCAATGCCGGTTTTGAGTCCAAATTGGCTGGAAAAAATTACAAACCTGAAGGTGAAAAAAAAATGAAAAAAAAAAATGATTTTTATAATTTGCGCAAAAATCAAAGACAAAATTTAATGTCTGTAAAAAAAAACAACGTACAAATAAAATTTAGAGAGTTGAAATTTAACGCATAGGACTATTAGAATTATAAAAAAAAATTATATTATAAATAAAAATTATTGTATATTATTATTATGATGGTCTATGGAAGAGGTTCATTCCTTGCAATATTGAGAATATATTCTGCCACCCCCCTCGGCCCCTGCATTCAAATTCTTAACACCCCCCATTTGGGGATGTGCCCCAGTTGCACCCAAATGTTGTTACTAATATTGATTTTCGGGTGGGCTGACTTTAATCTTAAACTGCTCCAATTTAATGGCAAAAATTCCCAGTAATAAAACACCTGGTCGAAGACAGGTCATATTGCTAGTATGTATATATATATATATATATATATATAGTATATATATAAATATGTATATTTATAGTAAATATTTAGCTTTATAAATATAGCATATAAAAATAGCATATATATATATATATATATATATATATATATATATATATATAACCTCTTCCCTTTATATATATATATCAACATCATCACTTGATAAGACACCAGACGTGTTGAAACAAAATGGTTATTTTTGTAGTGATTTTATAACATATTTATGCTATAATAATTATATTTGCTCTACGCTGTATTGAGCACTCTTTTAAGAATACTAATTATTGGTTATTGAAATTTATTCCGTATACACAATCTTATATATATATATATATATATATATATATATATATATATATATATATATATATATATATATATATATATTGTATTTAGGCAGCAATCCTTCTTTTATACATATTTCATTAAAGACCACTGACAAGGTACTGCGATAAAGATATGTATTTAATTTTTCTTGTGTACGTACACGTGTTTTCTTTTCTGGACATAAAGTGTGTAAAATCTGTCCCGAAATTTTACATATCTGAGCACTTACGGCTATACTATTTAGCCATTATCAAGCATGATTTTATTTTTACTTTTAACTGAATGTATGAGTTGTGTTATGTATGTATCTAGAGTTATAGGGATGTTTTATTTTCCAAACATGGTCAGCACATTGTGGCCGTGTTCATAGTTAATGTTATTAAGTGTTGGCTTTTTTCTTTTTTATTATTAGGACTTACATTATTCTTTTTATCTTTTCTTATTATGCTTGTATTTTGTACTAGTATGTTCCGGATGGACTCTAAGTGGTTGGTGTGTGTTTAAATGAGTCCTAATGGAGCTATGGTCGGATAGGTGTGAGGTTAGTCGTCTGGATAGGCATGCAGTAGTGTGACCAACGTAATTATTTATGTTTTTGGCTTGATCAGAAACACAGTTCCTTAAGGGGGCATTTGAACTCGTAAATGGCGTTGGTTCTTTGTAGTTTTGATTTTGCAGGTGTGTTGTTATTTTTGAGGATAAGGTGAGCTGTTTTAAATTTTTTTGAAATAGATAATTAATTTATGATAAAATATAGTTTTTTGGTATGCTATATTTATGGGTTATATATATATATATATATATATATATATATATATATATATATATATCATGAGAACGAAAAGAATATAAATTCAAATCTTCATAGCATTAATTTAAAAGAGTGCTCAATACAACGAGTAGAGCAATAGTTATTTAATATAAAGATGTTCCATTTTTTCGTATTCACGTAAATCTTTCTCCTGTTCGTTTTTTCTATTCTCTTCAACTTCTATTCTTTTCTTCTTCTTCTTTTTCTTTGCAGTTATGACTTGTTGTCGTTTAAGTTTTCTTAACTCTTATATTTCTCTTTCTTCTTTCCCTTGTCTTCTTATCAATCCTCTTTTTCTTTTCACCTGTTTTCTTCTTCCTCTTATTTTTTTTCTTTTTCTTTATATATTTCTTTTCCTTTTATGGCGTTTCTCCTTATGTCCTTTTTTTTTTAAAAAAAAATTGAATAAGGAAAAAAAGAAAGTGATATTTTATAAGTAGCATTTTTAAATAGAATCGTTTATAACCATCTTTTGTTCCTCACATGTCGAGATGAATTCGCATCGAAAAAAAAATGCATCTTTGTCGAGAGTACTTGTTTGTCTGTATTTAACATCTTTGTAATATATATATGTGTGTGTGTGTGTGTTTATGTGTGTGTTTATGCGTATATATATATATATATATATATATATATATATATATATATATATATATTGAACAATAAAAATATTAAAAATTAAAATCTTTAAACACACTGGGTTGTAGATTAATATTTTTCGTTTTTTTATTATTATTTCATTTAGATTCCTCGACTAGTTTCGGCCCCAAAATGACCATCATCGGGAGAAGAAATATTTTCTGCTTGCTGGTAGCAGTAAACTACAGAAATGAATGTCTTGATGGAGAAAATGAACTTTTGTTTTTTATTTTTTTATCTTTTTAACATGAATCTTTTAATAATCCTTGTGTTGGTCAAACAGTCTCTTTTAAGTTGTTATTTGAGATAAGAGCTGGATAGATCCATGCTGCTCTGAATTCTCTGGTCAGTTTGACAGTTTTATTGGACCTGGTGAGAGGATGTGTCTCTGTTTAGTGTTTGTGTGTGTGTTATTTGGTTCCTAGGGAGTGAGTGAGTATGATATGTGTATGCGTGTGTATTGCTGTGGGTGTGTGTTATCATTTGGCTAATTAGGGAGTGAGTCTGATGTGTGTAAGTGTGTATATTCGTGTGGTGTGTGTATAAGTGTGAGGCCTCCACACCTCCGTAAGCATATCTGTCTTGTGTGGGTGAGAAATGTGGGTAGGTTTGATTTGTTGAGTTATATATTGGTACTATCTATATTGTTAAGTTTATGGTTTAGCCCGGCTGGATATTGATATATATAATAAATACTTTTATGGTTTGCTATATTTATGGGTTAAAATGCTCAATGTCAGGGATAGAGCTTATGTAAATATAAAAGTGGTCATTGAATCGGTTGCGTTTAAGCATAAAACAGACTGCCGCATTTGGGTGTTGACTACAGTGTCCACCTTTATATATATATATATGTAAATGATCATTTACATAATGTTATTCGATTTTAGGATATATATATATATATATATATATATATGTGTGTGTGTGTGTGTGTGTGTGTGTGTGTGTGTGTGTGTGTGTGTGTGAAAGATAATAGGAAAACTGTAATATTAGCCAACGCGTTTCGTCCAATGTGGACATTTTCAAACGAAACTGACGTCGTCAGATTTGTTTTGTATCAAGCATACGTACTAAAAAATTGTGTTAGTCCAAAATGCAGATTCTGTGATAAATATACAGGAACAATTGATCATTTTGTATCAGGTTGCACGGTACTGGCACCCACTGAATATAAAAC